GGGGGCAATCCGGGTACCCATTTTTACCCAGGAGAAACGGGCTGTGCATTTAAAGTAGCACTGGGTGGGTTTTCCAGCCTTGCCACGTTGGGGAGCAGCCTGGGGAGGAGGAGTGAAGGCAGGAGGGTGGTGGGGCTGCTGCTCACACCTTGTGTTCCCGATTCCTCCCCCCCACTGCCGCCCCAAGAAATTTAGCAAAACACCAATCGTTGGTTTGTTGTAAAAACAAATAACAAAACGGGGCCCGTTGCCCTTCTCCCACCTTTCCCCTCTAGACAGGGTTCATGCCTTCCCCGCGCTCCTCCTCTCCTTCTTCTTACAGCAACGTTTCTCCGTTTGCAAAAGGAGAAGGAAGCAAAGCCTGATTTTGCTTTTCTCTCCCATTTACTTTATCATTAAAGCTGTTGTGGATTTCCCTGGGAAACTCAGCCTGGAGCATCCCAGGACCCGTACATACTTCAAACAAAATCTCCCCACGGTCCCCTCATCTCGTCTCCATTTTGGGGTTCATTACTGTCGTTACGAATATATTTTGGGGGGGGTGAGGGGAAGGGAAAATGAGGTTTTTATTTTGTTGGGATTCCTTCTCATCCTTTCCAGTGTTGGGGGGGCAGAGTGTTGATAGCATTTTGCCATGCCACACAGCATAGTGTTATACAAGCAAAGAATTTTGGCTAAAATCCAAAAAACATTACCCAGGAAAAAAGGCAAACTGTGAGTGAGACTCGATCGTTTGTTGTTCTTCTGTGAAAAGACTTGGAAATTGTCGTAGGACAGTTCGAGTTATGATTTTTTTTTTTTTCCCTTTTTGTTGTTGTTGTTTGGTTGGTTGTTGTTTTTTTTTTTTCCCCCCATTCATACATGTAACTGTTATTTTTGCAAACAAGACAGTCTTGAATTAGATGAAAAAGTTAATAAACAAAATGGCGACTCCAATATTTAGTAAGATCACCATGACTACGAGGATAGGAGCTGAGCCCTGGAAGAGAAAGAGAAGGAGAGGAGTTAGAAGGTGCGTTAGAAGTCTGTCTAAGGTTGCCTCGTGCAGGGGTCGGGTGCTGCGCTGGCTCCGGGATGCCTCAGGGCTGGCAGCTCTGCCGACCCCAGAGAGCAGATTTACACCCTCCAGCAAACGATCCCAAAGCGCCTGGCAACCCTCGCTGAGCTTTTGCAGGCTGCTGCCTTCGTGAGGCAGGTGGGAATAAAGATCTCCCCCTTGGAGGTGAGCAAACAGCCGAAGCAGGGGCTAAAGCCAGATCTATCTGGTTTTACAAGGGCCTGCAGTGACAGGACGAGGGGTGATGGCTGGAAGCTGGGAGAGGGCGGGTTTAGACTAGATACAAGGAAGAAGCTCTTCACCCTGAGGGTGGTGAGACACTGGAACAGGTTGCCTAAGGGAGCTGTGGATGCTCCATCCCTGGCAGTGCTCAAGACCAGGGTGGATGGAGCCTTGAGCAACCTGGTCTGGTGAGAGGTGTCCCTGCCCATGGCAGGGGGGTTGGACTAGGTGCTCTGTGAGCTCCCTTCCCACCCAAACCACGCTATGATTCTATGATGCTCTCGCCTCCGCCCCTGTGGCAATAAGCAGGTCCCCCCTAGGTCTTTCATCGAAGCACAATGTCCTCCTAAGGCCACCGCTTGATTCTGGCAAGGCAGCCAAAATCCTCCTCCTCCTGTTTCACCGACAGAAATGAACTGGGCGCTGCCAGGAGCCCCTTTGCTCCCTCCCCACACCGACCCATAGCCCAAGGCATTCTTGGAGTCCACAGCATCCCTAGTAGCACTGTCCTTCTTACACCTGGGTGAGAGCAAAGCTGCTGGACCCCTGCTTTTCTGAGCCACTTCCACACTTACTTCCCATCTGTTTGCCTCAATAGACACGTATACCTGCAAGTCTTGGGGCAGAGCCCGTTTACTGCCCTGCAGGAGCACAAATGGCACAAATTAGCCTGAATAAGTCCCAAGGCGAGCTCTGGACCCAGCGTCTGCCAAGCAGGCACCCGGCTGCACACCCACGGGGCCCATCGATCAAGGTAGCCGTTGCCCATGGACTCCCCCATGTCGTGCATATGGGAAATCTGGCCCTAAAAGAATAACTACAACCGGTGGCTTACCTGAGGTGGTCAATGAAAAGGAAAAAAACACCCAAAAAAAACCCCAAAAACCGTTGTATTGGGTCATAGAGTTGTTGGGGGATGGTTTGGAGGAGTCTTCAAAGGCCATTCCCTAATCAACATGGTTGCTTGTACAGGTATTCTGGTAACAGCACACGGCAGGCCAGCGTATGGCGGTCTGTGTTAAGGCACCATTTTGGGAAAGCTCTAACAACCTTTCCTGAGGTTCGTACGGACCAAATTAAGCTCCTGGGGACTCTCTGGAAACCATCGCAGCAACCCACGTCGCAGCTGGCCCGTGTCAGACACCCACCGGAGGCTGGGTTGAAGCGCTGCCCAGAAGCATCCAGCCCTGAGCCCACAGGCAGCCCCCGGGTGACTTGTGTGGGACCCGATGAGGATGTGGCTGCTGGACCCTTTTAGCATCCCAGGAATGACAAGAAGAGGCCACTCGGCGTCGGGGCTGCGGACAACCCTCCGACGCCTCTTTCTGCAGAAGACCGGTCACAAAACCATCCACCCTGCCTCCTCCTCCCTGCCGTAAAGCGTTTGCTGTCCTAAAGTGTTAACGTGGCTGGCATCAGGGTGAGCAAGCGTGTGTGCAGGTAGGTGGTAGCTATTTCTCGGAGGAGCTGGTACCCTCGTCTATTCTTGCTGCAACGGAGCTGTGCCAGCTTTAATCGCCTGGAATGGTACAAATGCTTTTCTCTGCGCTCCTGTCCCCGTAACAAAGCTCCCAGGGCTGTTGGGTTGGCATGGGGCAGGGGTGGGTGCCCTTTCTAAGCAAGCCCTTCTGCAGAGCTGCTGGGAATAAAAAAAAAGAAAGAAAAAAAGGGTAAAAAAAAGGGGGGGGGGAAAAAAGCTCCTTGCTGGCCAGAGATCGTTTCTCTTCGGAGCAGGCTGATTCAGTTCGCATTTGGGAGTGGGTGGGAGCGAGGATGCTGGAGCTTGCTGGAAAGGCATATTTGTAGCTTAGCAACAGGGTCAAAGGAAGCCAACCAAACGGAGGGATTGCGGAGAGCCTCTCCTGGCAGGCAGGTATCCACGCCTGACTGCTTCCAGAAAATCTCTCCGCCTGCACCACGCAAAGCCTTTCAAAAGCAAAAAAAAAAACCCAAACCCCAAC